TCCCCCGCGGGGCCGGCCTGGCGTGGAGGGCGCTTGTTTGGCGTAGTTTGGGTGCGAGGCGTTCCGCTGGGGTTGGAGGGGTTGTTGGCCTGGGTGTTTCTGCCGCCTGCGACGGCCGTCCTGGTTCGGTACGGCGCTTCCCTTAAGGTCTCGGTGGCACTTAATAATCGCTCTTTGCGCTGAGCAGCCCCTAAAAAAGCCTGAGTCAGGGATTAGGGCCCAGCTGGGTGGTGTGCTGCGTGTCTCCGTAAGATACTCGAGTCAGTAAAGGAATTGATTGTTGCCTGCCCCTTACGGTGAAGATTATTATCAAAAAACTCACTTTAAAAAAAAAATACCACAAAGCAGGGCAAATATTACTATTTTACTGTTAGTTGAGTGTGGGAACAGCTGTGGCTCCGTAGTATAGAGCCTCTAAACTTTTTGGTGGCTGGATTGCCACATATGTTATTTGAGCTGTGAAGGTGCTTCCTCAACGCAGCAGAAGAGATAATTAAGGTAGGATTTCCTTAGTAAATATTCAAATTTTAAAATTAGGTATCAATCCTCACCCATGAACGCTTGGCCAGGAATGCCGATTGGCCAAACCTGTGCATCGTAATATTGTCAGTGTAGGATTCCCATCAAGAAATGGGTTTGGGCATTCTCGTTTCTGCTTTTTGCTAGCCTCAATATGTGTCCCTGTGAGGAGCACAGCAAGTCTAGTCCTTCACGTGAAGACAATTGTACAGTATTTCTTTTTCAGAAGTAAAAGATGCGTTTGTGTTGCTGTCATTCATTAAAACATCTGCCAAGTTTCCCATTTGGGTAATTCAGAAGTCAATAACACCTCGATTTTTAACTTCCCCAAGTATATTGATAAAACAGTTTATTATTGGGTTATGTACAAAGTTTGGTGATGCCAAAAATGTTGGAAGTGGGAATAATTACTGCAGTCATTGCTCTGTTTGCTAATAGGGTTGTTAGCTTTGTTAGTAACTACTTGCCTTGGATGTTAATTTGTTTTTCTATAAATTGTTTTGTTATCGAAGAGACAACCATGCAAGAAAGGCATCTTTAGGAAGGCGCACAGTAAAATGTTTGCTATCATAGTAGAAAATGAAATTAATGGGAAAATACAGGTTGGAATTCATCTGCACTTTCTCTCTTTTGGTGCCTGCATAGCGAGTTTTAAGGTAAGTCAGCTAAAGCAGGGAAGGTGCAAGATGAACACATGCAAGTAAAAAGAACACGTGTGTGTATCAGGAAGCAGGTAACCTCCTCAGTTTTTTTTGAACTTGCTGATAAATTTAAATGGCCTTCTACACAGTGAAAAAAACACTGTTAGGCCATGTTAAATTTTAGATATTGACATCTATCCAACAAATCCTGGAACATATGCTTGGTACCTAAAATAACTACCGTGGATGGCTATTTTTTATACAATAGCTGAGGCTTATGGCTGTCGTTCTTGCTTATTAACTGCTTACACATCACATTTTTCATTAGTGTGAGAGATGTTGGTAATGTCCACTTATAGCCAAGTATCCTATGGTAGCAACAGTTGCTAATGAGTATTCAGTTAGTTCATAACACCTGTGTTCCTGTGCTGCTTTTAGCAGAAAGATGTCTATTTACTTCACATAGGAAGCCAACATTTGATCTTTATCTCTTCCCCTCCTCCTGCCTCCTTCACTCCTCCTCCTTTTTATCTCAGCTGAAATTGTGCATTTAGCCGTTGGTTTCTTTCACAAAACTGTGATCTTTTTTCTTTTCCATGACAGTTTACCTCCATTTGCCATCACCAAACAAATAAGCACTTATTCTAGTTTTGGCGAATCCCAAATCAATAGATACTTCTAGAGGCTATGAAGGGGTTGCCATGTTGCAAATTACAAACTTTTTAAAAATGATACGTGTTGGTCAGATCAGACTATTGACAGTTATATTGCTAGCAGTTGCTGTCACATTGTACTTGCCTTCCAGGTCTTGCGTCTTCACAGAAGGATATTGTATATCTTACAAAAGACAGGGAATTTCCTGCGTTTTGTCTCCCTAAAGTGCTAAGCGTATGTTTAGTTTTTTGGATACTTAATGAGTTAAAGTTGAACTTTCATTTTCCAGTCCATATCAGTGTGCTTCTAAAAATACAAAACCTGGCCTTGAAAAAGGAAAAAGAGAAAAAAACAAAACACACACACCTGTTTTACATAAGATGTTTAGCAAAATTCCTTCATATGCTTAAGCATTGGGTAAACGTGCATGCATGGACATGTTATGTTGTAAACAATTGCTGCCATGTGTTTTAAGATGACAGATTGGTGGCGACACTGGGAATAGAGGGATTCATTGTGACCAGAAATACAAAATACTTCCTCATCCTTTTTTCTTATTTATAGTACTGCTCAAATAAATACTCAATACAATAAACTTCTTAATATCAGAAGAGTTTGTGCTGTGAGAGCAATAATTTGTAGCTAATACTAAGGCATTATCTCTAGGTAGTGTTTAAGATTTCTAGTCTAGTATGTGCAGCGTTCTGTTAAGGTCTTCCAAGATTTAAGAGTTGTTAGAGCTGGGGGGGGGGGGGGAATTAGTATTGTTACAGCACAAAAAGGAGCTAGCCTTACAGAACTGCAGTAGTGGTCAGGTTTTTTTTAACATCCAAAACCAAAATCTTAGTTAAACAAGAGCTTGTTTGGACTCTTATACAAAATTATGCAAATGCTCATCTACTAGGAAAGCTAGTTAAGGTAACTTTGTTTCATCTTGTGTCTTCAATGAGGAACAGGTTTTCCTTGGGCTTTTTTTTTTTTCTTGAATAAGAAAGGATGAGCTGTTTTTTCTGTTTTATTGTGGGTATGGCTGTGATGATACCCAATTTTCTTTCCAACATTTGTTTTTAATTGTAGTACCATAGACCTTGGAATCAAATATTAGATCTTTACTATACAAAGGCCAGGATAAGTGCAAATTGTTCATTGTGTCTGCAGTAGATGTAGTTTTATGAACAGTTTGGTTTTGAGTAGTTGCTGTTTAGTACTGCATGTTAGAGGTCTTGAGTATAGCTTTGCTTCTGGGAATGTTTGAAGAGAAGGTTTGGGGTGGTTTTTTGTTTGCTTTGTTTTGTTTACCAGGTGATTCAACATTTCATTTTCTGTTGGTGATTGTTGTTCAAATTTGCTGCAGTGTTCAAATTTGACTGATGTTTAGGTTTTTTTGAAATGAAATAAATATTTCATGCATGTTCTTTCTTTGGAAATACTGGAAGAAACTGATGAGTTTCTGCTGGCCTTTTCTTCCTTGACTTGCCTGTGTTGCTGGGCAAGAGATTAAGGATTGCTTAATAGTGCCAGCACAGGAGAAGTGTCAAATAAATATTTCTGTTCTGTAATTGACAGACACGTGATGTGAAATGATGATAATATTGTAATGCAGGGTACTTCAAAACTAATTTTGGAGCAGCCATTGAATCTAGATGTTTTAAGATCAGCAGTGTCAAGATTTTAAGAGTTGTCAGTAGAGTTCACTGGACTTGCAATACTCACAATATTTGAGAACACCAAGGAAGCTTCAGGGGATTGAAGGATCGGTAGTGTTATGAGATGTACTGGATATTGCAGGTAATTAGAAGCTTTTCAACCTTTTTGTGTATCCCACACAAAATAGTTTGCTTGGGATTCAAATATGGAGCAACTGAAGAAGAGCAGGAATTTCACTCACTGAGTTAGTTAAAAATAGGTTCCTTTAAGCTGACTTGTAGTTCTGTGGTGAAGATCATGCATTTTGTCATTTAAAAAATGTACCTAGATATTTGTTTGTATAAGGCATTTTATTTGGCATGCACAGCTTCAGGGAAAAAACTAGAATGACAGCATGTGCAATGTCATATTGATTTTTATTTATTTATTTGTAACTGAGAGTCCCATTATAATTCTGAAGGGGGAATAGTTGCTGAGATGCATTTTCTGGTGGTATCTTGTAGAGATTGTGCTGGCTTTAAAATCCCACAGCATTTTTATCAGTGATGTTGAGAGTAGACTTTATTGTTCCAGTTTGCAAATGAGCTATGGTTAGTATAGGAGGGAAATAACTGTTAGAGGAGGGCCTAAATCACTTGATTAAACTGAATGTGGAGAGTATGGGTTTTTACCAAATCCAAATATGAACGTGCATGTGTGTCTGAAGGATTATTTCCTTGTTTTGTAGTTCAGTGCCTTTTATACCTGTGAAAGACAAGAGGAAGTTTCTTAGTCATTGCTGTGGTCGCTGCACTGGATGTTCTGGGTTGTAGACTAGTCTTCTCCAACTGTGGTCTGCAAACTGGGTGCTTTCTGAGTAGCTAGTCTAATGAGTAAGCAGTTTGTGCACAAGGCTGTAGTAAGTAGGGTTTTAAAAAGAAAATAATTGAAAATGCCATCCAGTTCACGAAGGATTTTGGGGTTAAATCATGGTGTGTGTTTCCACACATGCACCCCTCCCCCCCCCCCTTTTGTCTTTTGTTTGTTTTGTTTGTGTTTTGAATCATAGACCAGACTAGTGCTAGTGTGGCGTAGCAACTTCCTAGGAAGGAAAGGTGGCTCAAGCAGCTCTGTTTTAAAGCAGCTGTTGCCTTTGCAGTTCCACAACAGAAAGTGTGCCTTCGGATACCATTCACTAGAATGAGAGGAATAGGTAAAGTACTACCATTAGTTGCATGCTGTCAGACCTTCCTGTTGTAGGTGCATAAACAGAGCTACTTGAGTGAAATATTTTATAATAGCAAAAAAAAAAACCAAACCCAAAAAAACCAAACCCAAACAAACCCCACCCCACAAAACAGTAAAGGCCAGGCTATGTGCATGATACGGTCTGAGTTTGAGAAGCAGTGGTTCAGAGAAAAAAGTGGAAGAGGGATCGGGACACATTAGCTGAGCACAAGCTCCAGGTACATGCTAGTGTACTTGGAAAGGGCTAATAGATCTGAGCTGTTGCTGAGTGTGGAGCATAGAACATTTGTTATGTTTCTGGCATTGTTGTGAAAAACATGAGAATGTATCGGGATCCTTCAGGCATCAGCTAACACAAGATTTTAATGATAAGCTTGAAGGGTTCAGTAGTGACTAATGGTCAGAAAATAGCCCTTATGATAAAACTTAAGCTAAATATAATTGCAGAAAGGAGGATGGAGGGGTAGCAATCATAGGGTGACAGAAATAGATTTGATCATTTGATTTTTCAGTGTAGCAAATGAAGAACAGGATCCAATGACTGAAAGAGCCACGTGAATTCATGCTGAAGTGATGTGTGTTTTTAAATTGGAGCACTTTCCAATGATCATTCTGAATTCTATTTCTAGAAACTTTTAAGTTGAGATTGGTTTCCTGCTCACATTTGTGTTAGTGCAAGCTGAGAACTGATTCAGAGAAGTCTAATGATCAAGTCAAATGTTATACGGAAAGGAGAATCTAGCTTTACAATACCTCTTGCCAAGAAACTATTATACCTAGGTTTCTGCCCTTTGAGCTGTTTTCCAAAAGACAAGACAAGTTGATCTTGAGTCTGCTTGTCATTTTAGTTTCTCCAAAATATCTATTCCATTTCTAGGCTGAGATGATGCTGCTGTGAAACTCCTTGACAGAGCTAACTTCAGTTCTTATTTGTTGTGCATTTTCTCTTCCTAGGAGGAAGAACAGTGACAGCTTGACCAGTAATAACTAGTTTGTCAACTGACTACTGTTTACACAGAAAATTATTTTAGTGGGGCCCTATTTTGGAAAATTGTTCTTAAGAGTAACTTCATTGGTTGCTTGTCTTTCATGTGAAGGCTTTTGTGAGTCCAAGGTATGCAGGTCCTCTTCAGAAGCGGGCAGGAATTAAAACCAAGGGCCTGTCAGCTTATGTCTGGAGAGAGAACATTCATCTTGTTCCAGCAGAGGGGTGATGGACTTTCAGGATTTTTTTTAAAGCCTGATCAACTGCATGTATGGTTTTTTCAAGTAAAGAAACTTCTAAATGACGTGCCTGAGGCTTTTTTTCTTGGAGTATTTGTTTTGGTCCCACTCACTTCTCCCTATATCTGTCATACACACGCATGCACGCATATATGCTTGACCTGAAGGTGTGTTACCACCTGAGTCTGAATACATTTCTTTTTGGGCTCACTAGTAATTGTAACTATTACTTTTTAATATCCTTTACAGCTTAATGTCCCTTTATAGTTGGTGTTCTAGCAATTCAGTCTTCTACTCCTTGAAAATGTACGTTGGGTCTTGCTCTTGGTTAGCAACAGCTTTTCTGTGAGCAGCAGTAATGTCATTGTTGAAGTCTGGCAGGAATAATCCTTGCAGTACAGCGTTTTGATAGGTATGCTTATTTTGTTAGGTTTGCAGTAACAGTTGTGGATTGGGAGGGCGTTAACAGTCTTGTGAGATCATCAGGGGCTTGGTACAATTCTGCAAGCTTATTATGAGAGATTTTCGTCATTTTATTTTCTTCCTGAAAATGCCAGGTTAGTAGACTTTGGAGAAACTACACTGAGCACTACATTACAAGTAGAGAGCAAGAGCCTGTAGTAGATAAGTCAGTTGTAAAGTTGCAGCATCTTTCCGAAGCCTCTAAACGGTGGGTGGTATCCAGTAGTGTATCAGCTTCTCTGAGAAGGCAACAGCACTTTGAGCACAGATAAATGACTATTGAGTGCTGCTTGCCTTCAGCTCTGTTCTTCAGAGTTGCCATTCATCATTCAGGTGGGATACATGTCTTTGCTGGCGAATCCTAGCCTATGCTTTCCTGGGTTCAAATTATGTGATGCTGACAGGCAGACTGGACTTCAGCCTCTGCTTTTCAGTGTAGCTGCATGGTTAGTAATGGGTTGTGCTCTTTGCTGGTTTCTGGCTGATCAGCCGGTCTGGGTAGTGTAGCCCAGGCAGCCAAGTGTCTCTGCCTGAGGAATCGCCTGATTCCCCTGCTACTCTGAGGAAGTAAGAGATGCGAGTTCTTAATTAGGTGTATAGATAGGCAGTTGTGCTTGACTTTGATTTTACAGTTTTCAAGTTTACTGATAGGCCTTTTCATAAAAGTGGCAGTTTTGGCTGTCTTGGGGTTTTTGACTTGTGCTCTCTCTATGTGTGTATGTTAAAAAACCCTTGAATGAAGAAAATGTTATAAATGTTGGGCAAACTTAGTATGCTATCTGATAGTTTGCCATGGTGTTTATGATGCTTTTGGCGGTGCTGTTTTATGCACAACTCCTTCCAGCGTTGCCCTTCAGGTGACACTTGTTTATTCCTGGATTCCCTATACCCTTTTTTCTTCAACATGAAGACCTAGGAGACTCTGGTTTACTCTGAAATAGTGCAGGCAGAAATAATAATTATCTCCACTTCTTGTTGGATTTCTACATTTATAATGAAAATTAAATCCTGTGTGTACAATTACTGCTTAAAGTGTATGAACTTACAAATAGTTGTGCAAGAACTTTTCAAATTACTTGGTCTAGATTCAGAACATAACGTACTTTGATTTTTGATTCTTTTCAGACTATGAGAAGACAAAGAAATGAAGTTGTTGTGGAGTTGAGAAAGGTGAGATGACCTAGCTTTGTTCTTACCAAATGGGATTTGGCTATGTTGGTATTTCGGTAAAATTTAAGAGTTTGTGTGGTCTTCTGTAGTCCACCAAGAAAGACGATTGTTAAACTATGTATTTGTCTTGACTAATTCTGTGAAGGTACTTTGGTTTAGAAGGAAGTTCTAAAAGTTACCATACCTGGTACTAGAAGTTCCAGGATTTTTGCCCTGAAGAACATAATTTTATTTGTAATCTATTGAAGGGAATTCTTGCTTCTCCAGCTAGGTTTTTAATTTTAAAAACTTATAAAGAGCTTCTGTTTTTTCCTTTGAAAATCAGGTGTTCCTGCTAATCCATAGGCAGAAGGTTATTTTCTTCTCAAAACAGCATAGTTCAACACACAAGTAAGAGTGGAAGAGTGTATGTGTGAAAATAACACTGTTTAGAATGGCTGGAAAACCAGTTCTTGAGAAAAGTAATCATAACTTCAATTATTTTACTTCTGGGGTGAACAGAAAACTAGCCTCTGGGAATTGCCTTGTCTTGTTACAAATAATGACAAATAGGTTGTAATGTCAGTGTTGATGGATGTGTGCACACAAAACTTCCATCAACAGTAGTTACTGCTGTAAATAAAGTTGGATGGAGGATTTTTCTAGGAAGCAGTGATTTCCAAAATGTGCTTCTCTGCAACCGTTTCCAACTTCTTAAGTGTTGGAAATTTTGACAGTATCAATGAAAGCATGTTTATGATGCTTGTTTAAAACAGAAGCTTCTCTTCCCTTCTTAACACCCCTCACACCCCCTAAATCAAAGTTTTAAAGGTATTACATCATTTTTCTCTTTAAGAACAAAAGAGATGAGCATCTTCTAAAGAGAAGAAATGTTCCTCATGAAGATATCTGTGAAGATTCTGATATAGATGGTGACTTTAGAGTGGTAAGAATTAACTCTTGAGCGTATTTTTTTTTATGTACTGGAAACGCATTTATAATTTCTAACTGTTTTGTGTCTGTTTTCTAGCAAAACACTTCTTTGGAGGCAATAGTACAGGTAAAAAAACCAAACTTAATTGTTCGAACATTCTTCATGTCATGGTGAACAAACATGTGAAAAGTCTAAATTCTTTTTCATTTTAGAATGCTTCAAGTGACAACCAGGGTATACAGTTAAGTGCTGTGCAGGCTGCAAGGTAAGAACATGCTTTTTTCAAATACACTATTTTTAGTCTTTATCGTGCTCTTAAATTCAGAAAATGTGTTCTAGCTTAACTAGAAAAAGTATGTCATTTACTGATCTTAAAAAAAGAAAACTTGATAAATAGAACTTGACAAAAAAAGATCAAAATACCTAGGTCTTGGAAGTAGTCAGGATTTTCATTATGTACACATAAATACTAGGATTTATCTTAGTGCAATACTTGATGCTTCTCACAAATAGAGTAAAATATATAATTAGCAGGACTATAAAGTCTTTAGCTTTAAGTACAGAAAGAACTGGCATAATCCTTTTTCTAGTTTTGTCATGGATTAGGCCACTAAAACCACTTTTTCCTTTAAGAGGAATTCTGCATAGTTGTATTCAAGAAGTGATCCCAGTTCAAGAAAAATCCTTATGAGCTTTGCTTGCATAGATTTAGTATTTAACTGCTGTTTCATCAGCTACTGGGCTTTTTTTTTGTTGTTGTTGTAGCAGAAAGCTACAACTTTCTATTTGTTTACTCTCTGTGGTCCAGGGAGTTGATTCAAGTGCAAGGGAAGACTTCCATATCAAAGAGAAGTCAGGTGAATTGGAAGTTACTTTGACTTTGGGGAGTTAATGTATTTGAAACTGATATGGGAAAGAACAACTTCTGTGCTGATTTCCACTGGGCAACTTGTCTTCATTCAAAAGTTTCTTCAGCTCAGGGTAGCGTCATGTAGAACACCCTATTTACTACAGCTGATCTGAACCAGGTTAGACTAAAGTACACTGAATTAAGCCTGACCTAAAATTAAATGGGAATGTTCATATGGATTTCTTACTATTGTAACTATTTTTTTAAATTGAAAACTGATTTAAAATTAAAGCAGTGCAGTTTACATTATTGGAAGGTATTAAAGTATATTTTAGAGATGAAAACAAATGCTTTTTCAGTCTTGGTTGAATCTGTGCCATCCTTTGGTCTCAAGCTGGAACAGGAGGGAAAAATTGTGCTCAAGTCTAACCCCCAAAACATACGACTGGAATATGAGGAACAGAAAACTGATTAGAATTGCTTAAGAAGCAGCAAAACTCAATCCCCCAAAGCCTTAAGTTTTATTTGATTCTTGTAGCAGAGTTCTCTACCTGTTTGAGCAGGTGGTTTGTGAATAGGCTGCACTATCATTGTTTTGTCACTGAACGAAAGAACAAAAATCAGTATTAAGATTCTGTAAGTATGCTTTTGTTCCTTAATTTTTATAAGCTTGTAGAAGTAAATTGTCTTAACTTCTAAAAGGCATCTCCTTTACTTAATTGTAAGTTGAAAATGCACATCTGATTATTGCAAGTGTCTTCACATGATCTGTGTTCAGATCCTTCCTGTTGCGGTTGCTTAGTTTTCTGAGGTATTTTGTTTTGCAGTTCTGGGTTTTCTTCATCTCCTCTTTCCCCATTTTGCCCCCTTTAACACACCAGTGGTATCTTTCAGGATGAAGCAGCAGTGGAAAGTTGATTTCTAGTTACTGTGTTCTGTCAAGCCTTTCACGTGTTTGTGAATAGGCTGGTATATGAAGAGATGACTGTATGTAATCTCTCTTCCCATTGCTAGTGCAAGTTTGGTGTGGCAGCCCAAGTTGTCCCCTCCAAGAAGCTTCCTTTGTTCTCCTTAATTCCTTCGCTGCAGAAAGGTGAAGCTAAAGGGATTAAAAATTGAAACAAATTTGTACGCTTCTGTTCTTTGCAGTAGTACTTTGTGAAACCTTGCTCTCTGACATTATATATCCTTAGTAAAGAAGAAACAAATTTCTGCCTTTCCTGTTAAAGCAGCCAGGATCTGTTTATCTCCTTTGTTGGGTAGAGGAGGAAGAAGCTGCAGGAGGTGTAACTGAGTAACTGGTGATTTTTGTTTTACTGACTGGTAATAAACTTAAAAACTAGTCGGAGAAAACATGGTAACTGAAACAGGCAATGCTTCACTCTTTCGGTAGTTCAGTAATTTCAGTTTTGGGGATTAGTTATTTTCACTTAAAGTGGAGAAAACAAATCCTGCTTGGTCTCAGAGTATGAGACAGTGGGGAGAAACTTTCCAGCCCAGAAGGTAGTGCAGCACTGGAACAATTTGTCCAGGGAGGTTGTTGGATCTCTGTGCTTGGAGGTTTCTGAAACTCAGCTACAGGAAGCTGTTACTGACCTGATCTGTGTCAGCAATAATCCTGCTTTGAGCAGAAGATTGGACTAAACAACCTCCGGAGATCCTTTCCGGTCATGACTTCTCATTCTGTGATTGGTCTGTTAAGTCTTGTGTTTTCTCCTTTTCCTAAACAGAAAGCTGCTTTCCAGTGATCGCAATCCACCAATTGACGATCTAATAAAATCAGGAATATTACCTATTTTAGTGCACTGTCTTGAAAGAGATGACAAGTGAGTATTTGTAAAACTCAAAATGTTTTAATTGTTGCAAAAATTCTTGGTCTTTAGCTAATGTGCCTATGGCATCTGATTTGAAAACTTGAGTTACAATAATTTTTTTTTTTTCCTTACTTTGCAGTCCTTCTTTACAGTTTGAAGCTGCATGGGCTTTGACAAACATTGCCTCTGGAACCTCTGAACAAACACAGGCCGTAGTTCAATCTAGTAAGTCCAACAGTATTTGATCATTGATAAAGCACGCGCTGTAGCTTCCACAAAAATAAGATCATCTGAACGATACTGTAAAGAGCATCTGCAGTTGTGTTCCTCTCTACCTCCAGCATGTTCACCAATCCATATGTTAGGGTTGGTCCTTTCACGCGATAGCCAGGATGGTTGAAATTGAGTTGTCAATCACAGGCACATCGCTGAAGGACCTGCCCATGAAGTCACCTGCCAGATGTTCTACCTCTTCTCTGGCAAGCAGCATCAGTTGAAGTGCACACCTGCTTTTGTTCTTAATTTTCTCAGATTTTAAATTCAGTTGGGTTTCCTCATGGTGAGTAGTCTCTTCTGGAAACTCACACTATTTTAGCAGAGTTGATACATGCTGGTTTCCAGTTTTAAAACTTAAAAAAAAACCAACCCCAAACCAAATCCCCAAAACACCCCAAAGAAACCAACGAAAAACTTGAAACAAAACCAACCAACCAAAAAAAAAACCCACCCCAAACCCTAAAAAACTCCCATGGAGGAATTTCCTATCTGATTGTGAGGAGGGAGGAAAAGATGTGGACCAAGTCCAGAGGGTGACTGAAATCAAACTCTCTTCCAAAATCAATTTGAAGAAAAACCACTGTCCTTCATATTTTGAGGAATCTGGAGCGTGGAAAGGAATTGTTGTTGGACTTTGGAATCCGAGTTACCAAGCAAAGCAAACTTTCTTCTGTACTCTAAACATGTCCTAAGTTGAAGTACTACTTCTGTTAGTAAAGCAGAACTAAGTAGAAAGTGTCTGCAGACTTTTTGAATTGAGTGAATAAAACAGCAGTGCTTCTTGAGACCCACGGAAGAATCAGACATACAGTAAAACAAATTTTTGTCTAAAGTCTAAGGACAAAATCCACAAAACTTACATTACGTGAGCTATCAGTAGCTTTAATGGTTGGAATTAGTGTTGTATTGCAGTGCATGCTGCTGATACCATTAAACATGCTGTGCTTCCAACAATGAAAATACACAGAATTAGGCTTGATCTTTTTGTGTGTCTTCTCCCACCGCAACCATCATATATTGACTTTTTAGAACTACTTGGAACTTTCATTCAATGTAGTAAGTACAGTTTCTAAGACGTGTGGTGGTGTTTTAAGTGTTGAAATGTCAGTGTTTGTTACATATGTTCCATGACTGAATTTTTCACTTCAGTGATCAAAGAAGATTGTTTATTTTTCATTGTTAGTGCTAAGCAGTTACAGGCCTCTCACAAACTGTATATTACTGGCTTTATATTTTGAGAAAATATGTATTCCTAAGAAAGTTCTTAGCACTATCTGCTGTATTAAATGGCTGGGTGTGTTTCAGAAATCTTTAACTGGAAAAATAGGTTAATTCTCCACAGCAGATGTGAAGAAATTTAAGGCAGGTGACTTCAGCTTAAAGGATTTTTTTTTTTTAAATCGAATGTATGCTTTGAGATTGCTTTGGTTGCAAAATCAGTTGCCCTTTGCTTTTACAAACTCTGTGTTAAGAGCCCATTAACTTTGGTATAGCTTGGATTTGACCATTATAGTATGTATCTTTGCTAATACTTTTAACTTTCCTTTTTCCCATCCTCCTCCTCCTTCCTTTCCCAGTTGCATCCTGAGTTTTCTTTTGGAAAGCTAATTAATATATACTCTGTCCCACACCTCTGATCTAGAACACTTCTTTTTATTTAAACCCAGTTTATCAATGGATTAAAGATGAGTGCCAAATATAGTAATTACTTATTTTCAGTTATAAACTCTGATTTAGCTAGGTCTGCATGTATGCACTAGTATTAGCCAATTTAATAGCTATAACATATGAAAGTGTGGTTTATTTCTTGTAATGATTTACTTCAATGAAAAAGATGGTCTGTTGTAATCTTTCCTAAAGTACTTATTAATATGCTTGCTGAGGATGTTTTTTCTGCTTGCATACAGGCATTGTGAAATACCTTTATTTAGTAGGAAATGAGAAATCTATTGTGATTTTTTATTTCTCTAGCAAAAATTTTTTTGCATTGAGAAAGAGTTGAACTAAAAATACTAGCCTCTCTTGAAATATGTGATCTAAAGTAAATGAGTGTTTCTTAAAGACTAAACTGTCACTAGCAAATCATGTAAGCAAGCACCTTGGAGCTGGGGATAAAAAAATTAAGGATCAGTTATCTAAATATGGTGCATGGAGAATGTGTTTGAAATGTTGGCTTAGCTTTAGTTCTAAATACTGGGAGCATTCTCCTGTCTGACACCAACTGTGATGGGTTGACCCTGGCTGGACGCCAGGCGCCCACCAAAGCCGTTCTATCACTCCCGCATCCTCAGCTGGACAGGGGAGAGAAAAAATATAACAAAAAACTTGCGGGTCGAGATAAGGACAGGAGAGATCATTCACTAATTACCATCACGGGCAAAACAGACTCAGCTTAGGGAAAATTAGCTCACTTTTTATTACAAATCAGCCAGAGTAAGGTAAATGAGAAATAAAACGAAATCTCAGAACACCTTCCCTCCACCCCTCCCTTCTTCCCAGGCACAACTTCACTCCCGGATTTCTCCACCAAGCCCCCGCAGCAGCACAAGGGGGACAGGGATGGGGTTTATGGTCATCACACGTTATTTTCTGCCGCTTCACCTCCTCAGGGCGAGGGCTCATCACACTCTCCCCCTGCTCCAACGTGGGTTCCCACCCCCGGGAGACAGTCCTCCACGAACTTTCTCCAACGTGGGCCATTCCCACGGGCTGCAGTTCTTCACGAACTGCTCCAGCATGGGTCCTTTCCACGGTGTGCAGTCCTTCAGGAGCACACTGCTCCAGCGTGGGTCCCCCACGGGGTCACAAGTCCTGCCAGAAAACCTGCTCCGTGGGCTCCTCTCTCCACAGATCCTCAGGTCCTGCCAGGAGCCTGCTCCAGCATGGGCTTCCCACGGGGTCACAGCCTCCTTCGGGAAACCCACCTGCTCCTGTGCGGGATCCTCCACGGGCTGCAGGTGGAGATCTGCCCCACCGTGGACCTCCCTGGACTGCAGGGGGACAGCCTGCCTCACCAGGGTCTTCACCACGGGCTGCAGGGGAATCTTCGCTCCGGCGCCTGGAGCATCTCCTCCCCCTCCTTCTGCACTGACCTTGGTGTCCGCAGGCTTGTTTCTCTTACATGTTCTCACTCCTCTCTCCGGTGGCTGTTTTCCACGTCCCAACTTTTTTTTCCTTCTTAAAAATGTTATCACAGAGGCGTTACCACTATCACTGATTCCTGATTGGCTCGGCCTTGGCCGGCGGCAGGTCCGTCTTAGAGCCAGCTGGTATAGGCTCGCTCTCTCTCGAACACAGGGGAAGCTTCCAGCAGCTTCTTACAGGAGCCACCCCTGTAACCCCCCCCGCTACCAAAACCTTGCCACATAAAACCAATACACCAACGCAGGGTAGAAAAGTAGCTGACTTGATAACAATTGTGGAGTTTGTGTGTTGCCTTTTGAATGCCTTTCTAACAGCTCCATCAGTTTGCTTTTTTGTTGTTGTTGTTACATGGTGATAGCATTTGAAACCATCTCTTCTGTGGTGATCAGTTAGGTTATTCTGTTGTATTAGATCATGGGTCTCAAATTGAGTAGAGTCAAGACTTCACATGGAAGAATGCATCTGTATTAGGTTTCAGGAGACCAAGATGACTAGATTTGTAGAAACAGCTTCTTTTACTGTACACTTGCCTTCATAATGGTTATCAAAAGATACTGAACACAGAGTTTGGAAATATTAGGGAAAAGTACACAGTGACGTGACGCTTAGTAGTGCATCTGTATTGGCAGCAGGGGTTCTTTTGGTGCAGTTTACTTTGCATGTCTACTTGTGTATGCTCAATCAACAAGGCTTCCTCTTGGTAGAGCTGCAGGTGAAGTTACGTGCTAAGGCGTTGCCTGGAGCTCTGCACTAGCAATGTATACAGAACATCCCTCCATAGTTAGCTTTCTGCATGTGCTAGGACCAGCAACTGGCACAGACTTCACTACTAGTAAAGATGTGATGGGGGATATAGGGTACTGTGAGTTAGATTGAAACAAATTAAACCCCTGTACTTCCTTCTTACTACGTTACCAGTCAATAATGTAGATGTGTACCTACTGATTCTTGCGTTGGCCAATTTGAATGCGTGAGGTTGGTCTTAAACAGTTACTACTCTGCAGTTGGTTCTGATAGATAACTTAGCGTGGAATTTCTAAATGCAGTAAGTATAGCTACATTTGGAGTCCTGACAAGCTTCAGTAAACTTGTGAGACTTAGAAGCGAATTACATGTCAGGTTATTTTAAGAGTTGCTTTCATAATATACTGAAGGGCAGGCTCTGTAAGGAAGTGCAATGAAGGAAGAATTGTCTCAGTGTGTTTTATTTCAGTGTGATCTGGGAAGTTAGTAAAAGTTTTGACCAATACTTAACCAGGAGAAAAAATTTTCATGCAGTGCTGAAACTTTATTTAAGAGCTAATTATGTGAGCTATTTTGTCTTTTGAGAGATATATTTCTTAACAATTGCATGGCGTTTTGTTTGTATCTTTCAGATGCTGTGCCACTTTTTCTGAGACTGCTGCATTCGCCTCATCAAAATGTTTGTGAGCAAGCTGTGTGGGCTTTAGGAAATATCATAGGTTTGTGTTACTCCTGCCACTAAAAACTCCTAAGTTTCTTTTGGTATTGAATGAATAAACTAGGTAGGATTTTGTGTGTTAGAACTTGGAGATGTTCATCTGTGAGACAAAAGGCAGCTGTTAGACTGGCAGTTACCCCTGTTCTTATTCCCTTATTCCTGTTCTCTCTGTTGTGTATTGACAGTGTGCACCCAAAACCACACGCCCACACACTTTCTTTCCAGGTACAGGAAAAGGAATTACTGGCAAACAGACATGCAGATTGTTTAAAAAAAAAAAACAAAACAAACCTGTTCTGCATTGAGTTCTGAAATTTTCCCTGAGCTTGCATACATTGTGTTGAATTCTAAATAAGTTGTGATCATTTGAGCTTTCATTTGATTTTTCCTCTCCTTGTGCAAGCATTAGCTTTGTGGTTTACAGCCCTGACTATGTTTGTAGTGCTTGAGGACTAATTTTGGTCCTGACATACTGAGATTTCTACAATCTGATACTTTAGAAATGCCTAGTCCTTCTTAAGGAGCAAACCAACAAAATCCATTGTACTGTAACTGCCTGAAGCTGTTAGTGATATGTGTGCAGTACAATTCAGATGTTGCTTTCAAGGCAACTAGTGATAAGTGGGCAGTGGCAAAAGTATGTTTATCTTTCGGATATGAAGATGACAACATCTGTTTTCAGGCAATTTTCAACTACTCTTGAGATGTTTTAATAGTGATTATAAACTTTGTGAAGGGATTTTCAGGAATACATTGGGCTGTCAACTATTCTTGGTGATTTGGCGTTGTCTACCACCCCTTTCCGCTTGCCCACCACCACCTCAGCCTGTACATATGCTATAAATCATGGAACACTTTTCTGTTAAGAATGTAGCTGTTTTTAATGAGTCGTTCAAAAAGAAGCAATTAGGCAGGCAGCCACAGGTCCTACTAAAGCTTTATGTAAGTGTCTCTGACAGATGTATCTATATAGATATATATCTCTAAATAAATTTATATATGTCTTCCAAAGGCCCATGTTCTTTGCCTTTGTATGCATTTTAAATAACTGAAGTTTTAGGTATGCAGAAATCAGACTTTTTGTGAATGGCATTTTTGTCTTCATAATTCTTTGCTGTCTCAAACAGGTGATGGACCCCAGTGTAGAGATTACGTTATTAGTCTTGGAGTAGTGAAACCACTGCTGTCCTTCATCAGCCCATCTATTCCCATAACTTTCTTAAGAAATGTTACTTGGGTCATGGTCAACTTGTGCCGTCACAAAGATCCTCCTCCGCCGATGGAAACCATTCAGGAGGTGACTGAATTACTGTTCAGTGTAACTAAACTGAAGAGAAGTATCTGTCTGCCTTAAAAATAACTGTCACATGCTTCTTTTCCTCCTTAGATCCTTCCAGCGCTTTGTGTTTTAATTCACCACACAGATGTAAATGTAAGTAACACCACTTAGAGAGAGTTTTGTGTTCTGGTATGGGTTTTTTAGCTGAAGTACAAAGCTTGTCATGATTAACCTTTTTCTTTTAAAAAAAAAAAAAAGATCTGTGATGTTCACTTTCATTATGGCAAACTTATTTTGATGTCTTTAACTGCTTATTTTTAAGTATCAGTTACAATTTTTGCCTGGTATTTCTCTGTATCTTTCTAAGTGCTTATTTGCTTGTACTTTCCTTACAGTTAAAATACAGTTTCAGTTTTATTTCTGTGAACATTGATTTACAGATAAATACAGGATTTTTTTGACTAGCACTTAAGTATGAGGTTGTAATGAATATCAGTGTAAATGAAAGAAAAAATAGTGTCTGCTGTATATGTAAAATGTTAGCTTTAGATGTAACTTCTGAGGTGTTAAATATGAACATTAGGTTATTTTAATAGTGAAGTAAATGAGTGAGACTTTACTGAAATAGATCAGCTTTTTGCCTAAACATAAGTCAAAATTATTTAAGATTAATTCTTTGCTTCCTAGGGAAGTTGTAGCTCGGTTGTCTAAGTTAAAGGCAACAGTGCTTTACCAAAATATGTTTAAATATATTAACTAAATTCTGCATAGTAATTATACTGTTCAATTTCTTCTATATAAGTAAGTGAAATTAAAGTTTATTTGAATTTCTTGAAATGGCTGTATTTGTGAATCAGTCAAGAGTTGTCAGCTGAAACAATGCTCACTCAATTTTTTTTGTAAGCTGTCACTTGAAATGTTCAGATTTACTGCTATTCAAATTGGCTTTTCTGTGTGTGAATATACACATGTATGCACACACAGAGAAGAAATTCAGTTCAACTGGTGGTGCATCAGCTGCACCAGATGTTAAAAAACTTTAAAGCTTTTCTTAAATTTTGTGGGGGAGTGCCAAGAGAAAAACCTTGGTGCCATGTAATGTACAGTTCATTGGTTTGAGAGTGTCAGATGCCCATAGTTTAATATTTGCTAAGGGTTTATCTTTCTTGCAGGGGTGAGTCTTTCATATCTCACATTGTCCGCCAGTACCTCATGAAAAGAGCAGATGTAATTGAATTGCTTTTATTATATCCTTCAGAATTTAAGCTGTAGTTAGCAGTTTAGCTGTTTTTTTAATCTCTGTGTATTCTTTGGAAATGGAAATTCTAGACCAGGTTGAACAGCAGTTGTATTTCAGACTTTGGTAGAGTGCAATGTATGAAGTTTGTAAAACAAAGTAGGTTTTTGCTGTATTGTGTCGATTCTGGCTTCACAATGAGAATTTTATATTTAATTTATATTATTTTTTTATAAGACTTGTGGTACTTTTGTACTAATTACAAATAAATGTTTTTACTGTTAGATATTGGTAGATACAGTCTGGGCACTCTCATATCTAACGGATGCTGGCAACGAACAGATCCAGATGGTGATAGACTCCGGAATAGTCCCTCATTTGGTTCCTCTTCTCAGTCATCAGGAAGTTAAAGTGCAAGTAAGTTTGGATGAATTTAAGGAAGTGTTGCTCAAAACATAATACTAGAGAAAGTTCATTTGTCATAGAATGGTTTCTGTTGGAAGGGACCTTAAAGATCATCTAGTTCCAACCCCCCTGCTGTGGGCAGAGACACCTTCCACCAGACCAGGTTGCTCAAAGCCCCGTCCAGCCTGGCCTGGAACGCTTCCAGGGAGGGGGAGTCCTGGGCAACCTCTCTGGGCAACCTGTTCCAGTGTCTCATCACCCTTATCGTAAAACATTTCTTCCTTATGTCCAATCTAAATCTGCCCTCTTTCAGTTTAAAGCCATACTTCTTGTTGAAGCTTAAAGAATACTTTTTCCTGTGTGGTACAGCATTTGCATAAAACCTTTTGCTTTTTTAACTGTTACAACTTGAAAGTATGTGCTCAACTAGAAAAAGTCTTTAATTAAGAGAACTCTTTAAACAAAGTGTTTTGTTTCAGACTGCTGCACTGAGAGCTGTAGGAAACATTGTCACTGGTACTGATGAACAGACACAGGTAGTTCTGAATTGTGAAGCTCTTTCACATTTTCCAGCACTTCTGACACATCCCAAAGAAAAAATTAATAAGGTAAGTAACTGCAAAGATTGCACCTGATTGATAACTTTTTTTATATTTGGCTTAGCTGTTTTGGGTTCCATGTAAGGTAGCGTGGTAGAGATTTGAGTAATTGACTACTTATGCCAGTTTATGGCAAGAGCAGGAAGGGTGCTGAACGTTTTCTTGAAGTTAGCATCTGTAGAAAAATCTCTAAGGAGCTGCAAACTTTTACTTGACAAGAATGTTGTTTCCTGGTTCTTCTACTTGAGTTTTAGTGAAATTAAAGCTTTATCTTGTAATTCTGGCTGTTGACTTCAAAGTTATGATATGTGAAATGTCACTTTAATTAAACTGACTCTCTTGGAAGTGATGAAATAGAGATAACTGGGTGTCTGTTTGAATGGAGTGTGTGTGATAAATAGAATTTAAACCAAGTTAAACTGGGGGTGGGGTGTGGGGAATGTGTGTGTCTGCGCATGTATAGAAAAGGCTTAAAGCGGGGGCACTGATAATGCAGTGCTGATTCCGGAGTGCATCTGAGGCATGTTGTTGAGTTCTGGGGTGCCACTTTACAACATTGCCAATGATTAAAGCCCAAAACAAGCCCACCAAAATAAGCCTAGGCATCTTAAATCTCTAACAGGTTCATAAATGAAAGTGATCCTGTGATCTGATCCAAGAGACTCAGTTGAATGAAATGTGAGGATTCCTGATCAAAAAGTTGTCATGCCAGATAAGTAGAGAGGAGAGGGGAGTTGAGAAGGAGTGATGGAGGCTTTCTAGGAAGGGAGAAATTTATCAGCTGTAGGATTAAAACAAGGTGATACTCTGAATGTACTTAAAATTTTAAGTGAAACTGTGTTATTTCTTGACTAATTCCTCCTTAAAAAAAGGTGTGTGGGGGGAAGCTCTCAATCCTTTTTTTAAGATAAGAATCCAGATATAGTCTTCGGCTTAGTTCCAAATTTCAGCTGTTCAGGACTGGAGGGGGTTGGGTCTACTGGGGAAAAGCTCTCTTCTTACACACTTTCCTAGGCACCTGCTGTTGGTTATTGCTGGAAGGAGAGAGTCCTGGGCTTATGGACAGAATGATCAGAAAGGGTCATGTACCTACACAGTATTCTTGAAAAGCAAGCATTTAAGTAATAGGTGTTGCATTTTCTTGATGATTGACACTAAGAGGAGAATCATTGTGGAGCAGGTAAAGAACATAACTGTCTTCTACCACTCATGTCTGGAAAACATGATGCTGTAATGCATACTCACCTGGCCATCAGCTGAAAAATGCTGTAGCATTCGTTCTCAGTAACAGAATCAACTATGAGTGCTCATTTGTAGCCTTGTGACTTTTTATTGTCTCCAAATAATTTTTCCTTTTAATCTATGGATTTGGAATATTTGGTTGTAACTTGGTAACAAGGAAAGACTGGAGAGTCTTGTGGAGTCTTTTGAGGTGAGACTGCTGCTTTGCCTGTTCTATGTCTAGTCTACTTACTAGGAATTCAGCTACATACAATCAAACTAATAGAATATTTGATTGCATTTAAGATTGGCTAGTGTATGAATTGCAGATCTAAAAATGTGCATGTATAAAATCTTGCTGGAGTGGAAATAAAATATGATATAGAAGACTATCTGAATTAATAATTTCTCACATCCTTTTATTTTGCAGGAAGCTGTGTGGTTCCTATCTAACATCACTGCAGGAAATCAGCAGCAAGTTCAGGCAGTAATAGATGCAAACCTTGTTCCAATGATAATACATCTTCTAGATAAGGTTAGATAACAAGGATTTAACAGTTTGTTTCCTTAATTGGGGAAAGTGACAGTGAATTCCTTGCTTCATATTTTACATCATACTGTAAATGTGGGGGGCAAAGGTAAACTATACCGTTGAGTATTTTTTGTATGTTGCAAGATAAAATATATTACTGCTGATATTCTTTTGTGAAGTGCTGTGAGATGATGAGTGCCAGATGTATTGGGGAAAGGAAGCAGATCGGGGGATCTCAGGCCCTTTTAAATATCATTTAAATTCTTTTTCTCACTTTGTAAACAATGGGGATGAAATTCTTTACTCTCATCTGTGGTGTGAAGAAGTCTGGATGGGAACAGCATTGAGTTAGTTCCCAGTGTTTTGGGAAAGCTTAAGGTCTTCATCCTTTTATCCTTGCGTTATCTGGAAACATAAGGAAGTGCTCAACAGTGACACTTATTAACCTGTTCGTGTTACTGCATTTATGTAGTCTGAGAGTAATCCAGGTAATGATCTGTGAAACTAGATGATGGGCTAGGGTTGTACCATCTATTTTTTTAAACAAGTAAAACCACATCAACACAAAATAGGTGGCCATAGAAAATAATAGCTTTTGTGTATTCAGAGTTTTTCCCATAGAAAAGCAACACGCTGTATGGATGTATGCTTCTTTTCAGTAATATATGAAGCTTGTTGAGATAAATGCTTTTATTACCTTTTTTTATTAAATAATAAAGTCAAGTAGTTGCTTGGAAATGAACGCTTCGTAATGCTTTTCTCACGCTTTTTCAGAAAGTCTGTCATTGCTTGTTGAATACTAAGAGGTTGAATGCTAATGGGCCATCATTTGGGACTTCAAATACCTGTATTCCTTTTCAGTTGTTGGCATTAGTGTCTTTTAAAACATTAGTTTCCAAACCACGTTGTGCTCCCAAGGATCTGCCTCGTGAGAAAGAAGGGCGCCTAAAAGCATGTTTTTAAACGGGAACAGTACAACATTTCTATCTTTCAAACATTTTCTACTTTTTGCTTTATTCATTACTTGATTTTTCTTCCCCGAAGTGTGGAAGGAGGCCAGAAATACCAACCTTATGATGTGTTCAGCTGTGACAAAGATGAAGTATCTTGCTTCAGTGTAGAGGCTGGGGTTGAGACTGAAGAAATACTTGTCTTTTCACCTAAGTAACATATAGCTGTTCACAAATAGTTCAGTTAACTGCCAATGTATTGATCACTGAGAAAAGAATTGGAGATATTTCTCTCTAAATTTAGTAAGCAGACTTGAGTTGACTAACTTTGGAGGCAGACACAGTTACAGTATTTACAGTGGTTTATCAAAATTGACACTTACTCCTTATCTCGCACTGTAATACATGACAGCTGTTGATAAGGAATGTGAGAGCATGGAGTCCTACAGTTTTTACTTACATTGATGCAAACAAACTTCCCTTCCTCTGGTAGATCGATTTTTAAAAACATGGTTGCAGGGAAGGGATGAACAATCTGTGAGTAAGACTCAAACATCTACAGGATTTGTTAGTTACTTTCCCTACTTAGTAAAAACTGATACGGTGATACCATGCAGAATGGACTGTAACAAACACAAGCTTTTACTAGAATACTACATAACATAAAAACTGGAATGATTATTTCTATTTATGGTTGTATTTTTAGGGTGACTTTGGTACTCAGAAAGAAGCTGCTTGGGCAATAAGCAACTTAACGATCAGTGGAAGAAAAGACCAAGTGAGTAAAACCTTAAGAAAAGGTCTGTTAACTAACATGGGTGCATTTGAGAGTACATCAGCTGATTTGTTTAGACTACTTCTGTGCCAGGATTATGAATGTCTGTATTCCTCTCCTGTTCACTAACTCTTCCCTTTTCCACGAGGGATTTAAGAGTGAACTTCCGTTGTTGTTTGTGGAATGACCTGAAATTAGGAGTGTCAGTGGGGATTTGGATGGAAACTCTTCTGTTAGGATGGCCTCATAGCTATGAATGACTGTGTTCAGGCTCTGATGAGATTCTTGGTCATTCAACATCTCTCTATTTTTCTACTTCTATTCCCCTATGGATAAGAGTGTGATAATTATAAGGATAGTAGCCACTGAGTAGAAATAGACTAGTTTCTTGTAAGCCCAGAATATTAGATTGGGGGGAGGCTTGGGGTGATGGTGTAATTCATCAAAGATGAGGTTGAAGCTCCTTGTCCAATACTGAAAAATTCACACTACTTGTGTGTTCTAGTCTTGAAATATATCTGTAACATAAATGTTACCTTTTAATGCTTCAAAAGAAGAATTTCTGAAAGTGACTGGTACAGAATACTCTTACCTTGTTGGGTAACTTTGAGTACTTTGACTTCATTAAACTTGTTTGTGTGTGTGCTTCTGTCATACTCCTGATTTAACTGTTTGCTTTTTTCCCCTTAGGTGGCATACTTAATTCAACAAAATGTAATTCCTCCCTTTTGCAATTTGCTGACAGTAAAAGATGCGCAAGTTGTGCAAGTGGTTCTGGATGGACTAAGTAATATATTAAAAATGGCTGAAGATGAAGCTGAAACCATAGCCAATCTTATAGAAGAGTGTGGAGGTATGATGCTTAATATTTTGGTACTGTTTTTTCAGAAATTGATGGTTTGGCTTCTTAACTACATGTATATGCTGTTGGCTTTATCGTGTGTTGGCACAGGTGCTTTAAGCAAACCTTTTTTTTGAAGTGACCTTTTTATGCCTATCAGGTGAATATACTTGGCTTTTCCTAACTGATTAAGTTCATGATCAAGTAAAATGTGGAGGAGCTTGGATAATGGCAATAAAGTTTATTAGGTGCGAATTTTGTAACAGTCTGGTGCACTTGACAAATTAGTTTCCGTTAATGTAGGGATGATATGCTTACCTTAATCATGCACAAGTCATGTCCAGGTGAAATGTGGAGGGGTGGCAAATTCTACATACAACAGTTGCAGAAATATGATAGCTTTAATTTCCTAATAGCTTTCAGACTTTTTCTGTATTTGTTGCTATTTAAATTGACTGAAATTCTTCAGGATAAAATTAGTGATATTAAATTTGGGCACAGGTAAAAAAACCTGGCATTTTGTTAACATGGAGTTGAATAGTCTTTAAAATACAAAATCTTGAGGGAAGCGGGGAAAGCTTAATCGATTGGTGATGGTGAGGGAGGGTGAGAAAAGAGGTGTTCATGCCTAAAGCTTTGCTTGTCAGAACTTCAAATATATTTATAAGCCTGCATGCTCTACTCATGTCTGCCAATATTGTACTGGAGCTACTTGCTGTATAATCAAGCTATAGGTCAGTAAGTGGTGGCATGTGTGCCACCAACAGTATGTGGATTTGGAATGTCACAGCTTGGGGCTATCACAGCAGGTGCTGAAAAGAGGTTTTTGTGAAAAGGGAGTATGTCCTAGTGCTTGGCCCTCACCATATTTCCATAGATTAGTTTAACCAGGGAAGTGCTATCATTGCTGGAATTGACTTTTTTTTTGTTATGGTGTATGTATTCCTCAACCTTTAATATGTTTCCTCAAATCTCTAAGAAGCTTTTATGCTTTCAGTATGTCAAGTGATGTTAACAGCATCTTATTCGTAGTCACTCTATTCCTAGATTTGGTTTTAATTACTTTGTATGATGAGGCCTTAAGGAGAGGGAGGTTGTTTTGCCTGAACTTAGTAGTTTATTACATTTCTTGTGTATTTATTGCAGGCCTGGAGAAAATTGAACAGCTACAAAATCACGAAAATGAAGACATCTACAAACTGGCTTATGAGATCATTGATCAGTTCTTCTCTTCAGATGATGTAAGTGTGTAATAGCTCTGCAGTCTGCTTTTGTTATTGTCTGTTGATATTTATAAATATGGTTCAAGATAAAGGCAACAGCTCTAAAGCCTGCTCTGTGACATTTGTTTTGTTCTTCACTGAAGAATGAGCCCTTTTTTGAACCTGTTGCATTTCTTGTCATTCTTCATGGTGAAGTATCTAAAGGTCTGATGGCTAATTTAAGACTTGCCTCTAGGGAATAAAATACTAGGCTTTGAATAGTTCTTTTAACTGTCAGCTTCTGACTAAGCTTGACATTTCACATTTGATAAGCTCCCTGCTGACCTGAGTACTGAATCTGAGATTCTGCTTCTTAAAAAACAAACTATTTTGAATATTTTGGTAATTTCAGAGGTAAGGTGTGCTGATCAAGAATGTTGTTTTCAGATTAAACATGAAATGTAAATCAAATGAAGGCTGTAGATTTGCATGCACTTTAAATCATAAAAGTTAATTGCGGGTAAAGGAAATGCAATCATGTCAGTGTGTGTCACAGTGAGAGGGCTTTCTATTTGGCTGGAGAACTTTTGGGAGCACATTACTGCAAAAATGGTAGAGCTCAGTTGCATTCATGCCCTACTGTCTGCACTGAAGTTTATTTTGTGCTAGAGTTTAACTTTTATATGAACAATAAGACATAAGTCTTGTTTAGTAACTCAAACTTTGCATATACACCAGGACTTGGAATTTAATCTAGTGTCAATGCGGTAACCTGTATACTACCTATTAAAAACAGAAACTGCCGTTTCAGCTTAATCCTTACATGATTTAATGGTATTGGTCTTCTCTTAAGAACTGTGACAGTTTATAAGCTGGCAATAAGGATGATGCATGACTGACAGAATGCTTTCTAGGAGTGAAAACTGCATAAATGAGAGAGACTTTTGGGTGCCATGTAGCCTATGTACTAAATATAAGCTAAATGATTTTGGCCTAAATTACTTTGTCATTATAATGCTCTTACTGAATTTGGGAGAAGAATGGTGAGACTTGATGCAAGGAAGTAGATTAGGTGAAGAGATAGATGCTCTTTAGGATTGTCCAGCTCCTTTTTAGTCTTTCTGTTCCTACTCATGATGTTCTTGTTCTGTTACAGATTGATGAAGATCCTAGCCTTGTTCCAGAAGCAATACAAGGCGGAACATTTGGTTTCAATTCATCTGCCAATGTACCAGCAGAAGGGTTCCAGTTTTAGAGTGGTATTTTGGAAGTTAGGTACAATGCAGCACTGAATAAAAAAAAGGTTTGATCCATCAATCTTGGCTCATGGGATCCGCTGCTGCATTAAATCGGGAAAGAAAATGTGAAGATTTCATTTGGAATCACAGAAAAGCCCAAATGAAGTCAAGATGGCGAGTGGGTGCGAGTGAGAATGAGTGGCAAAATGTAATGAAAAACTTCACACTGAATGCTTATTTAGATTGTTCAAAGAAAAAGGGCTACAGGTCAAAGATCTTCAGTGCCTGAGAAGGAACAATGACTTACTAGAGCAATTGGGGGGAAATGCAGTACTATCATCATCAAGCCTTGTAAGCATAAGAGAATAGGATGCCCATATAAGTCCAAGGAGAATGAGCCCAGGCCTTGCTATGAAGCACCGTGTGAATGGACAACATTGAATGAATGTCTGGACTCGATGCTGTGGAGCCAGGCTCATGTTTCAAATACGGGGCTCTTCAGTCCTGAAGCAGGCTCCTAGTCCTGGAGTGGCGTGTGTACGAGAGTATGGTTGTGATGCTGTATGTGAACGCATGCAAGCTTGATTTGCCTTCAGGGGGCTGATAATAAACCTAGTAAATCATCAAAATGAGTTCATAAGTGTTAACTTACACTGGACACAAAAACAAAGACCGGTTTAGCAGCAGACTCTGGTTTACTCCTGCAGCCTGTGTTTCTTTTTTGGTTGGGTTTTTTTTTTTTCCCCCTCTTATTTTTCTTTTAGTTATTTTTCTTTCCTGTATGGCTTATTAGTTGTTTGTAAAGTCAGAATTTCAGGAAGGCTTCCCTGTGCATTTGCACCAGATGAATGTTTGATGTTATGAAAAGCTTTCCATATCATCAAAACTAATTTGTAGATTTTTGCATGAAAAAAGCATACATTTCCCTTCAAATAGACTGTGTTGCAGTACACAAGTTGCCATAATAGTAGAAAGCAGTAAAATGTGGTAATAAAATCTCATCCTTTTCATTTTCAAAGATAACATGAAGACCTTTGCATGTGGTAATCTACAGCATAGTTCATTTTTAGATTTTGTTGAGTCCTGTAACCAAATGTTTCCGTTGTGGTAGAATACCGTGCTGTGTTTCAATGTTACTTGTTTTCAAACTTTGTTTTCTATGAAAATGATATGGAAACTTCTAAAAATGAAATTTGGTGCATATGTACTGCCGAATAAAGACCGAAAAAGAGGTGTGAATAGATGTACAAATCAAGTCATGGTTTGAACACCTTTAATATGCCTAATCCAATTGTTTTAGACTCTTTTTATCTTAGATGTAGGCAGCCATGAACAATCTATTTTGAGCCACTTTAGAGAGAAAACTTTGTATTTTTAAAACTTGCACAAAAAGGATGCAAGTGTTTTTATAATTGGAGTAATGCCTCAGTTTTGAGGTTCTGCACACTAAATTAAAGGTGACATTACAAATTTGTACAAAATGAACTCTTTATAAGGTGGCTCATTGTAGGAAATGCTGTGCCTTCCCCTTTGAGCACAAGTGTTGCATGAACAACAGTTTGCTATAATAAAACATACCAGATTAGCCACCATTAGCATCTATATCTACCTTGTGTTTTAAAATCAACTGGTAATTCTGAAACACTGTAGAATGGATAAAGATTATTTTGTGATCATAACTCTTTGTTGGACTAGAGTATTTTTGCAGCATTCCTTGTCATCAGAAACATGGTTAAAGTTTAAAACTAGAAGCAGCGGAAACTAGCTTGTGAAATTTATCCAAGTAGAGTGCAGGCTAGGCTGTCTTGGGGAAATAAACATTAAAACTTGCAACAGTGTTGTATTTGGTGTGTCTTTGTATATATGCTCCAGTTTTCATCAAAAGGTGCAGAAGATGATTTGAAGTTAGTTACATTGACATTTCTGAATCTCTTTTGTCGGAGTGGTTTTTTTTAACCTGCCTGATGTCAATGTGGTGTGTGGTATGTTATGTAGGCTTGAGGTAAATATTTCTTAATATTTATATCAAAATAGTTAACTAACTTACCTAATTACATAGTATGTATTCACTAAATAAATTAGGGCTGTTTTCATGTAAAATGTAGGGAACCCTGAGAGGAGGTAAAATGCGTAAACTGGTGTTTTTAAGGAAGGTCCAATGCCGTAAGTAAAACTATACTTCCTACTAACTTCATGCTAAAATATCTTTGTGAAGGATGTACTGTAGAAAACTGCTTTATTGTTAGAATACTTTCTTGTTAGGGGTAAGAGGAGAACAGATGTTTGTAGCAACTTTTATGGTTCCAAAACAACAACAAAAAAAGACCAAAAACCCAAACACTGTGGCAAGGTCTGCATTTACTGCCAGTGACTGGCTCTTCTTGGCACTTCCCTGATATACTTACAGAGAATTACCTTAATCTGGTGCTGTGCTAGCTGCAGCCTGTACTTTCTTAAACGGTCAGTGGTGGTGTTTTGTTGGTTTGGGGGTTTTGTAGGGTTTTAAGTGGAAAATTCTCCACCTGCTTCACAGCAGATCCTGTCATGATTTTGTTAGCTTACCAAAATACGGAAAGTTTAAATATTTCAGCATCCACAGGGTGGCAGTACTCCAATTTCTGCAGGAGCAAAACCGAAGCCAGTTTGTCCAATGCCTTTCTTCCCAAAAGTTGCAGTTTGAGGTAATGTAATTAATTACATTGTTGGGGAAAGGGGAGTTGTTTGGGAGGCTTGGGATACAAACAAGAAATAACTTAAAAGATTTACTTTAGGAATACTGATCAGATTACGAAGTCTTCAGAAAGTAAGAAGGCAGAGTTACTTACAGGTGCAACCTTGCATTGCTGCAATGGAAGTCACAGACCAATTTTCTGCCCACATGTGAGGATGGATAAATATCAGCCTCTGACTTTATTGAGTAGTGGAATGAGGTCATCAACAGAAGCAACTTACATGTTTCCCTTTTAACATGAAAGCTGTGACATCGAGTGTATGTCTCAAGCTGTTCAGTAGCAGAACACTGCTCTGTGATATTTAGATTGTCTGTAACCACGCAGATGGTAACTCTTGGTCACTGTGCTTCAGTTCTAATAAAAATAACTGAAGACACTGAGGTGAGGTTGTATGTTAATCTACTCTTGCAGGATTTTGAGGTATAAAATTAGCTTTTCAGCAGAACTTAGGGTAGCAGAAAAAGACCTTTAAAATACTAATAGGACAAAAGTTAATCCATAATACAGGCTATTCCAGGTAGGATTTTTATTCCAAGCAGCAGCATTGTTGGACCAAACTGGAATTTTAGGATCTTAGGGTTGGACTAGCTGATTTAGCTAGGAGCCAGTAGGTCTATGGAGAGAATAGTATGCTGAATCGAAAGGGATAGCTTGAGAGAAGTTGACCCTCTTTCTTTCTCTCCCACTACTGGAAGTGGAATAGCCCCTGGTTGTGTGAGGCCTTTCAGCATAAGAGAGCCGTTTGCTGGATGCATGGAGCCTCGAACAGAGACATACCTTTCATCTTCACAGAATGGTATCTTCTGGCAGATCACAAGCATTCCCAGTAAGTTGTCTACTTGTGCTGTTTTGGTAGTGGAACAGGCTAGTCTGACTGTTTAAAAAAAAAAAAAAAAAATTTCTGGGTAGCGTGTTAAGATACCAAGCAACTTAAAAGGGTTTCAAGTAAAATGAAATGCTGGCTAAGGCAATTTAGCCAGCCCTGAGCAAGAGAACCTGATGACTTCTGTGTAACCAGGCCTTTGCTCTTACACAAGTTTAAAAGCCTAAGGAAAACAGTGGATGTGCCAGGAAGAAAAGGGGGTGGCTTACTTTCTGCTTGAAAGTGAAGAAATCTGCATGTATTTGTTAACAACTCCTGCTATCGTACAGTATGTTGCATAAATTACCAAATTACTTCTGCTGCTTTATAACTAAGAATGGCTGCATATTAATACTTGTAGACTCTTTGCCACTTTTAACTATAAATGTTTCCTCAACTCTGCATGTCACCAAATTACTGGCAGGAATGCTAGTCACAAGGCTGGAAACAATTACAGAAGTCCTGCATCTGGATCAAATAGACTTTATGAAAGGAAACTTAGTAGCAGAAAATGTGTAAAGTTTACAAACTCTTCCTAATAGTAAGTTTTAGCTACTGCCAGAGTGAAACTCGGAAGGCACACAAAATTCATTGAAAAAGTTAATACTGCTTCAATACCTACAGAAACGTGATTGGAAACTTAATTTCCATAAAAAAATTCCTATTTTTGCTTGTAAATCCCTTGAAATGGGGGTCCTGTATTTATTCTGCTGGTGCTCCAAAGCTGGGGAAAACAGTGTTCTTCAAGCTGTCATTAAAACTGTCATATGTAAATACTTTTGATATACTTTTAAATTTCTATGAAACAAAATTGAAAGCTACTATTACTAGAAAACGACAAGTGTGGGAAACTTTAAATGCCAGCTATTGGCAAGTGCATTACAGTTTTGTAGTTTGATGGAAAGGCAGATGGTCAGTAGACCAGACTTCATATCAACCACACCAGATCATGTAATTCCTAGAATGGTAGTTTTTCAGATTAAATGTTGCTTCATCTTGAATTCTTAATTCTTTTAAGTACATAAAAATAAACTAGATATAAACCAACATACATTTGTACTCTGAATATCAGTTAGTTATATTGGAAATTACTCTCAAAAGCTCCCTTGTTTCTGCTTCTGTAGCTTTTTCCTTAAGATGTTCCTGGTGTGTTGAGGGGGGTAGTAGAGGGGAAAGGATTATAACAATTTTTGTTTTTTTAATTCTGTATTATGTCGTGCATGTAGCCCAGGAACAAAACTACTCCCTGTTTGAGTGCTTGTGCCATTTGGACACTTCAGGCACAGTGGTTTACTAGAAGGTCTTCTCTGTTGTTGCAGTGTACTTAGTATAGATCCTGGAGTAAAGCATCAATACATTCCCATCCACCACCACAAAAATTAGAGTATTGATGAGCTGGAGAAGCATCTTTCAAGAAACATGAAACGGATTTAGACCTTCATGAGCGTGGGGTGGGGGAGGGAGGGGAGTAGTCCGATACCATGGACAGCTACAGACTCGTAGTCTGAAAAACATGGTTATCTCAAGTATATTAAAATGAGAAGAGGAACCAATAACTATAGTAACTGGTTTGACATTGAAATTAAAGCAAAAATCTGAGCGCTTTGTTGGCCTCAGTTTTTTCTTAAGTGGCTGTCTGTGCAATCGGTGAAGCTCTGTGCACAGCTATCATGGGTAGGACTCTTGCCTGAGCAATATTGTGACAGTAAAATCTTACTCTATCCTGCTGTGTTCCTTCCCTTCTTACAAGCTTGCAATTTTTTTTTTCCTTAACTATAGGCCCAAGTTACCTCTTTCTCATTTAAGCTGTTTGGAATGTGTCACAGATTTGAACTCCTTCACTCACACTACAGAGTTCATACTCATTTTTGTACTACCTTTGACAAGGTATTTATAATGAACAAGTGTGCAGCCAGGGATTAGACTTTTGTGGTGGAACCAAAGCCTTAGTTTGCAGGTTGGCCTGAAGAAGGCTTTCCTCACCTAAAATGCTGTATGTTTGCTAACTGTATCACTTGTTCTAATAGTATCTTCAGTTACAAACCTTAACATGCTTGCACGTTTATCTTGCCTATACAGCGTTTTCATTTTTTAGCTGCTGTGAGTTTGTGTTTTGCCATGTGATAGCTTTCTAAGCTTTCTAGAATTGTATAAATACAGAAATGCAGATTTTTTTTAATGGGGTAAACCTCTGAAGTGTGTTCCAGATTACATGATTTGTACTGAGATACGAATGATATCTATGTTGCTGTGTCTGTTTTTTGTTAGTAGACTTGTGGGATGCCTATTTTGCACTACCTATGCATCTTCAAAACATAGGGCTTGTTAGGACTTTTGAATTTCACCTGACTTAAATGGCAGAAACATCTTTTAGCAGGTTATTACTGGACCAGACCCTATAAATGCAGTTAGAAGGGGGCTGTCTCTTAAGCTAATGTTTTCAAAATGGCTCTGGCATTAGTACAATGCAGACTGTCAGCTGTGCAGATTGAACACTGGCCCATTGTCTTGTCCATTGCAATTTCTGCCAGATGCAGAATTCTGCTAGAAGATAACTTATTCCCAAAATTCCATTTGCAAAGATTTGCCACTGTGATGCAGTTGATGTACCATTGTTAGCATTACATGTGGTTGCAGCCTCTTCTACAAATTGGGCACAAGGGCAGAATAAACTGGATGTGAAGATTGGTGTATCCAGCTTAATATTACTTTTTCTTGTTCAAACAGTAAATAAAATGTTTGAGATGACGTCTCTGTAATAGAAAGTTGGTTACTGATCTGTCAGTGACTCTGCACACGTTCTGTTCACCTCTTGACATTTTATGAAATGTGCTCTCATCATCTTGACATACCCCACGGCAGGTGGTTTAGTAATGACCCATCTGGTATAATGATCCATTATGTGGCATAATCTTCTGGCCAATGGATCCATTCTCTGAAAAACAAGTTATTTTCTGGGTTAGTTTTCAGATAGTTCTTTGAGCCTGTGTGGCTGCTTGAGCAGAAGGGAGATGGATGTGGCCACCTTTGTGATGGACGCAGGCTGGCCTAAGTCATGAAACTGCTAGCTGGGTTAGAAGTGGAGGCAGGGGATAAGGAAGGTAATTCACAAACCGAGCGATCTGCAGAAACAAGGGTATGTAGGACTCTGGTCTCCAGTACCATCAGCAGGCAGGGTGAGCACAATTGACAGGAATCTGTCCACCTGTAATTAAGGGTAAGGTCATGATTTAATGAATGGTT